ATAATATATATATGTTATTGATAGCGCAAATTAACTCCCTTTTTCGAGCTGGTGTGGGGCTTGATTTGCTGGGTAGTCAATTTTTTTCCAGGTAGTAAATTTTTACAGGAAATATTGCTGGACACCCTGAAAGATGGACTGGAAATTATAAGGAAGTCCCGCCTGTTATAAATTAAAACATTGAATAACCTTGAGGCATTAAACTAACACAATGTCAATGACCATAAGTTATGGAGCGGTGAAGTCCTGACGGTAATTTCTAATTCTTTATTTTATAACTTTATGATCCCCATGGTAAGATTGGGAGAACATATTGTTTTGATGTTTTCTCTGTCTATTAAAAATTTTGGTCCAGCCGTTGATTACTACGATTGCTACACCTGCATGTATCAATACTATCAATACTGCTACCGGTACATGTACATTTTGTACTACAATTGTGATAGAATGTATTCCATACATTGTATTTAATTAAATATAAACCTCAGGGGTTCTCAATCTAGTTAGTTAGAGTTAGAAAAGTTCATTGCATAATTTGCATACTCAGAAGTCACAGTTTTTCAGTACCGGTAAGTAGTAAAATGAATGGAAGGTACTTTCTCTCTCTCTCCCTCTCTCTCTCTCTCTCTCTCTCTCTCTCTCTCTCTCTCTCTCTCTCTCTCTCTCTCTCTCTCTCTCTCTCTCTCTCTCTCTCTCTCTCTCAACTCTCTCTCTCTCTCTCTCTCTCTCTCTCTCTCGCACGCACACACACACACACACACACACACACACACACACACACACACACACACACACACATACACACGCACACACACACACACATGCATGATCCTACATCGAATGCCACATGTATACACAGGGTGTGTGTGTCTTGATCTCCGTCAAAACTATGAGACTGACTCATTGAACCCCTTCTAATAACATACCGTACATCATGTAGCCTATTAATAACATCATCAAGACTTTTAGACTAGGTCTATACAGCCAAGATCAGCATTTTCTTCCCAAGGGAATAAAGCAATTAACCAGTACTGTGGCATGCTGGTGGTATGTTTGGTAGAGAGATATATACAACGGTACAATGTATAGGTTTAGACATCTCTTTGATACAGTGTAAATTGTGCAAGTGTAGTAAGGTTTTTGAGAGGTGGGTCCTCTTTTGTACCTCTTACTTTACTCTTCTTAGCCTTACCAGTTGAACTTGCTCCTACAACCACCTGTCCAAGACAATCACAGATCAAAACAACCACTTCTCATCTCACTTCTTGCCATTGCGTTTTCGGTTGTTGTTTTTTCTATTTACATGTATTATTACAGTGGAATCCTGAAATAACGAGAGGGAGAGGACCGGTGCAAAATGTCCGTGTTATAGCAGGATTCTCGTTACAAGGGATCCAGTAATAAATTCAGGGGAAATAATAAAGTAGGCTTAATCTATGAGTTTGGTGGTCTGTTTATTTCTATTCGTTATCTCCCCCATGTGGTGATTTGGTTCAACATGACCTCTAGGTCTTATATTTTATTATACTTGATCAAAAATCGAATCATGTTTCTTTCTCTAGCGCTTGCAATGTGGACAGCTCGGCTTTGGCGATCAGAAAGAGGGGGCTCTGGCTCTAGCCTATGCTAACTCGCCCGATGTGTTGTCCCCCACCCTATACGTTCTTACCGTCTAGCCCCCACCCCATCACACCCTGTGGTGAGTTCAGTCTGCTTGTGCCCGTCACACATTCACTCCGTCCATCACACACGCATGTGTCCATCACAGGACTGTGACCTCTCCATCACCGCATCGGAGAAGTGAGAGGCATGGTAGGCTTAGATAATCTAAACTACGCTGACCTATCATGCAATGCGTTCTCTGCCTGTCTGTGCATACCACACCTTCCCCGCTCATTTACTCTGGCCTTCATTATTGGCACACGTGGGCTCCCCCACTCTTTGTTTTGCTATCAATATCACCAACAAGTTTCTCAACCGGCGAAGTTTTACATGTATAAAAAACAGCCTATGCGTTGTGTACAGCAGCAGCAATATGCCGCTATAACCGACTAACATGTTAGTCTGAGTACGCTATAGCAGTATTTTATTTAGAAAGATAAAGAAGGAAAAAAACAGGGTTTCAGAATAGTGTCTTTATAACAGACTTCTCGTTGTTTCAGGACTCGTTATAAGTGGACTCTACTGTATTATAATTATCATGTAAAAAAAAAAAAATAGTTTGTACCGACTGCCCGACCACTTTTCTCCTGAACAACAGATGGTCATCTTGGACAGATTTTTCTTAGCTTGAAAGTTTCACTGTATTGAGGAACAAAGAGACTAACTGTTTGCTCAGCTTGTATCACACGGGGCTATGGTGCAGATAACCCTGGTTCAAATCCCCAGTGGGACATGCATGAACTCCAGTTGTTTGGAAAGATTTGGTCTAATTTCATTTTCAGGGGTCCTGCCTCTATTAGTATAGTCCGCTTTTTAAACCAACCACAGTTGATGATCTGAAAACAGTGGTGTGATGAATCAAAAGAAGAAATCCCAATTGTTTTCCTTCTAGACCTACTGATATTTAACCCTATCCGTACGTCATGTTTTACTATCGTATCCATACACGACATGGGGAACTCTGCCACCTCTTTCCGAAGAGGAAATTTACTTGTTTATCCGATCCGTACGCTTTGCATAGCAGTCTGTCAAAATGATTTTTTGAGAAATACTGAAAATTCAAAGGGGTCGTACTAGAAGTATTCTGAAACGTGAAGAATACAACTCCCGGGGGTACAAAATGACCCCAGGGCGTACGGATAGGGTTAATAAAAATCTTCTCTACTAAACTGAACACCTGTTTAAAATGAAGAAATTTCTGCTGTCCTTCAGATTTCAGTTTAGGTGTACTCCATTGTCATTACTGGGAATTCTGTTTAATTAAATCAAAGTTTGCAGACTGTCAAACTTTGTTCGGTGAAAAAAACAAACCGATGGATTCTAATTCTATCATTTTCTTGTAATTTACCACTGTTTTCGGATTAACTTTCTCATCTTCTGAGCTCTAACTCAAAGGCTTGGTGTCCACAGCCTCCGCACCTCATCATGAAATGTCTGGAGAGAAACATGTAGACTCCGTTCTCTTTATCCACACCATCCACTCCGCTTTATTTTGGCACCTGATGCAAAATGGCACTGATAAAATAATGCTAAATCTTTCTTTGTTGTTGGTACAAAGGGAGATGATCTAATTATCATTGTTACTGCATTCATCCCAAATGTCATGACCACACCAAACTAGAATTCATACTCACTCCTACCCCAAATATTATCCGGTGAAGAAAAATGCATTGACTATCTTTCTACGGATGAAGAAAATTACATTTGATTTTTTTCTGACCACGTGCGCCTCTGAGAAACAACAAGACACACACTCTGAAGAAAGGCAATTCCACCACTCGAAAGATTAGTTGTCTTTATTAAAGCATCTTTAAGTGCTTTTTTTTTTTTCTTGATCACCATCATCATCATCTGCATCAACATCACAGTAGCAGTAGCCCCATCAAAATCAAAGTCAAACAAGTCACACACCCGACTCTCCTCACATTCACAACCCATAAAGCGTTCGACATGTTCGACGCACAAAAATGAGAAGCACAACGGAAAGGACGCTGTGGACTGACTATGTGCAAATAGAGATCTATTAGTTCATAGTGTCTGAAGCTTTCATTATCATTTAACAATTTTATGATGTTTGGAGTGGAGCGGAGGCTGTGGACAAGCGCTCCAACTCGAATCAGGTTCCACTGTAATGACAGTCAAAAATCTGTGTTAAAGTGTTCCTTGTTCCTCTTCCTCAGTGGTTCTCAATCTTGTTTGCGAGGCTTACCCAACCCCGCAAGTTTAATCTCTGTATTTTAACGAATCCTTTGACTGGAGTGGTGTGAATGGAATGGACACACACACACACACACTATTGACTCATATCGAACAAAAAAGGACTACTGCTCTATACTATACTTCAAGTTGATGATTTTTAGTAATTTTAGACTAGATTGCATATACGCAGGGTCAAAATCTCGACTTTGGTATTAATGGTATGCTGGTACTGGTATCCACACCAGTACTGTGTGCAAAATTAATTTAGCATAGCTATCCATTTGACATCATGAGGTTCTTGAGAAGTTGGTTCTCTTGTACAGTACAGTATCTCTGAGACTTGGAGCCTTATATATTTTTTAGCTTGTTTGTCTGTATTGACAAGGTTGAAGGACTTGTAAAACACTGGGCTCTGAGTTTCATTTAGATCTGGTTCGAATCCCCTGTGGAGCATGCTTGAACTCGAGTTGTTTTGAGAGTTTAAAGTTCAAGATTCTTCATCCGCCTGATTCATTCCTATCTCAGAGGTCTCACCTCTAATAATAAAACCTAAAACAGTTTTGGGGGAGTTGGAGAGGGAATGTTAAACCTATACTATACAATGACCAGTTTTTTATATCAGCCGACCCGCAAAAAAGTTAGATCCAAAAAATATTTACAACTTTCTTGTTTATGATACTCAATTTTGGGGCTATCTGGAAGATATCTTGTAACTGTTTTGTAGCTATCATATTTTTAATTTTATTGTTATTACAGAATTACAGAACAAATCCAGATGGATGAACCACAGTTGGGCAAACTTTGGAGTTTGCACCTTTATTCATTACCGTTCATTACGGTTTTAGAAGCTTTCTTTTGGACAAACTTTTTTTCTGGTCACCTGGTACATAGGTCTAGGATCAAGTGAATGGGGTTGACAGCTCTGAGTATGAGAATAACTTCCGAACCAACCATTGCTGGCACAGTTGACACCTGTAACTCAACTGTCTGCCTAAAGGTTACGCACAAGCACACACACACACACACACACACATACACACACACACACACTACAGGTATATTGTACTGTCATCCAAACAAAAATGTTAAAGCTACAAGGATACACAAAATTATGTCAAAAACCAAGAGCACACAATGTATTTGACAGTTTTATATTAAGAATTTATTTTTTAAACTATTAGTATTAGTGTAAAAGTAAAAGGAACATACAGTATAGGTCTAGATTAGAAAGGTAAGTCCCAAAAACCTGCAAAAGTCAAAGATCGCGGCTTTTATACTGTTGGACGAAATTGAAATGGTAAACAATGAGGTTGGAAATGATTCCAGAATAGGACATGATAATTTTGGTTGGATGAAGGACTCTGATAATCACCATTGGAAATTGGTGTTTGCTAGAGTTTTGCACCCAGCCGTCGATACATGAAAAAAGGAAGCTTTTCTCCTCTGAAGAGAAAAAAAGAATCTTTATTGGATTGTCGAAATGTTTTGTAAGTGTTTTCTTCAAAAGCTCTGTCTGTCTTATCTGGGAAATCATCATATCCCACTCTGCCCTGATTGGACCTGAAAAGCAAGTTCAAAGCAGGCAGCTTCCCAAATGATCTAACTCATAAAAGGATAGACCATAAAAACCCACTGTTATGAGTTGACAGTGCAGAATGACCAGTTTGTGTCTGGTATAAGAACATTAATTATAGTGTACATGTATTGCTAAATTTTAGCTAATTATCTCAAAAGATCTCACATCAACAATGCTTTAAAAATAAAACTCTTCAACTTCAACAGCCTCACATTAAGAACAAAAGTCATAAAATGGTATGGGGGTAAAAAGTTATCACAGACATCTGAATGAAAATGTGTGGACTTTCAATTTGGTGCCAGGTGAGTTGAAAATCTACCGACGTTTTTTTAGCTGAATCAGTGGTCTGACAACTGGTTTAGTTGAAACTTTACCAGTCTATGCAAGCTTGGAACTTGAGTCAAGGGTCAGTTTACAGATCCCTCTTAAATGTATACAGGCTTGGGACTGTAATTTGCCATGGTAAAAATGTTTTGATGGTTGCAGTTTGTCTGGGAGAGGGGGAGAGAGGAGAAAAAGCCCAAATCCCCAATTTCTAGAAAAAGTCACTTGCTATAGCGACTTACTTGGCGATCATATCTTTACCACTACAAAATGAAGCAATCCATCTGTCTACCTACACTACATAGCTAAATTATATAATGCCACTACCGCTGGCCTAAATTTCTCAAGCGCTGTCGTTACCGTTGCCAGTCAGGCTGGGCATACTCTGTGTTTGACCAACGAAACTGCAGCTAGTAGATCATGGTCAGGTGGGAATTATGGTAGACCGCCGTAGCGCGGTAGAACTTCCAACTAAACCAGCACTTTGGATTTCTTCCTCGTGTTAACAAACTAGAGGAATTGAAGCGTCTTTCTTTTTCAATGAAGGTGTGCATGTTATGTGTGCGTGTGTGTTTGTGTGTGTATGTATGTATACGTATTTTGTGCTCATACACTATAAGTTTGTTTTCATGAGAACAGTGTGCAATTTGAGTTCTGCATTAGTTTGTCTTCACGAGAACCATATTTTGCATTTGAGGTATTTCATCACCGTTTAGGTTATGATCAGCTTCATAGGGATATTGGCGTAAGATGTAAACAGTAATGTTAATCAATAGATATGCCTATTATTTTTTAATTCTCATTGCATATTTGTTAAAAGCTTTCAGTCTTTAGTCATCTTATATTAATCTCAAGAACATAAAACTGGGCTTTCCTCTTGACATGCTTTCAGAATAAAATGTTTCTGTCCAACACCTGTAATGGATCATCCTGTTACACAGGTTTAAGCAGTAAATATAACCCAATCACATAATGACTGTGATTCAACAGATTCATTTTTCAAATTTGAGGAAGCCTGAATATTGATAAAAGAATGTTTTGCTGTAGCCAAATATTATTGTTGTTTCACATAATACAAAATCAGGTTGAAACATCTTTTGCATGCATCCTGTTCATACCTTTTTTTTTTCAAATTACTTTTCTCCTCTTTCCTGAATTGCATTTTCAAGCATTGAGGTTACATAGTCTACCAACTTGTCAAGATCTTCAATATTGTCTAGGTTCTTTTTTTTAACAAACTTTCCAGTACCGATACTTGTCTTAAGAACCCTCTTCTTCACATACTTTCCTCCATGCCTGTGAAGTGTATTCCATAATGTGCGAATAAGCTCATCTCTCTCAGTTTTATCATCAACTTTCTCCATTTCCGAATTCTTAAGTCCACTGATCTCTGCTCTCTTCACCTGAACCCTCTTAGAAAGTTCCACCTCTTTTTTCTTAATTTCCAACACGACTTTCTCAGAAGGACTAAACGCATTCTGCTCACGACTTGCCTCCAGATGTGCTCGCTGGTGTCGCGTGCCATGTGTTCCATACAATACCAGACTCCATTCTTTGATGTAGCCTGGAGGACTGGTGTCCATATCAAGCATCTCTGTAAGTTTATGAAGATCATCTTTGAAGTTCTCTTCATCCGTATTTTTTCTGAAAATGAAGACCAATGGTTAAAAGGAGCTTTTATTTGTGTTTGCATTCGCGTGTGTATTATGGGTCTTATTATGAGTGTGTGTGTGTGTGTGTAAATTGAGAAAGACGAGAGAGAGAGAGAGAGAGAGAGAGAGAGAGAGAGAGAGAGAGAGAGAGAGAGAGAGAGAGAGAAGATTACTTTCCTTTATTGACCTACCCACCCCCCTGACAAGTACAGTGGAAACCTGATATAACAGGGATGGTGGGAGTAGAGAAAATGTCCTGTTATATCCGATCCCTGTTAAATCAGAAAAGCAAGGAAAGTAGGCATCTGTGGACTTATCCAGCTGTACTTATTCATGGGTAGTTCCACGAACAGGGGTTTTGGCACCAACTTTCTCCTTGCCTCCTTAAACCATATCAGAAGAGCTTGGTCCACAGTATCTACATCGAGTAGTCTCATCTTCTTTCGATTCAGAGCAAACTTTCCATAGGAGTATGCCACCACTATCTTCTCTCTATCCTTGATAATAGTGTGAAACGACCCTTGTGGAATGTCGAACTAACGACAAATCTCTGCCAGTGGAGCTCGCTTTTTGTCAACAGCCTGGATTTTTTCGTATTTTTGTCAATTGAAAGGCATTTTCTCTTGCGCCTGACATCGTTGGTGACACATTACGCTTGCGTGTTGCTAAGTTTCAGGCTAAATCGAGGTCTGCAGCACACCGCAGCCCTCTCTCACTTCACATGCTGTTTGTGCTTGCAGTGGCATGGCTTGCTCCATCACTGCGTTACTCTCTCTCTCTCTCTCTCTCTCTCTCTCTCTCTCTCTCTCTCTCTCTCTCTTTTACTTTTTACACAATATTAACGAGCCTTTGTCCCTGCTATAACCGGTTGGGTTCCGATGAGGCCCTGTTATTGCCGAAAACTTTTAATAGAGTCAAAGAGAAGGAAAAAACGGGGATTTAAAAGATCCCTGTTATTACCGGGCCTGTTATATATGGTTTCCACTGTATCCCCATCTTTATCTATCAATAGAAAAAGCAGTTCATTTTCTTCTGGAATAAAGTCTTTGGCTAGGGATTATTTTTCATTGATCCTTCCACGAAACTGCCAGGCTATATGACCCCAACATTTGGAGAACTCAGTACACTACAGTATAGACCTAAACTGTGTGGTATCAAGTGTTGGTATTACACTGGCCGGGACACAGCTCCTAGTTCTTTTCAAAATAATGACAATTGTGCTTGTTAAGGCAATAAAATACTTATTTGCAATGACTTCACAGTCTAGAAAATAATTAGGCTCTGTATATCTAAGTTACTGTGATTGTCCTCTGTTAATAAGAAGATGTTTGGCGCACTAGACACTGTTCTCATATCTGTCAACCATAGGGTTGCAGCCAATTAGAGAATTTCACAATATTTTGATTACATAAAAATTGACTGAGAGGTAAAAGAATAGTACCAAAATTCTCAGGGGACATAAGTCTTTCACATGGAATAGAGTTATGTATCATATAGCTTCTCTGAAAAAGTAGTTTTTGGTACAGTACGTGGTGTCCACTTAACAGTAACCCAGATAAGAGCAATCTCCACCTAACAACAGCAGCCTAAGCTTGTGTAATGACATTTTTCTAAAATAAATAACACCCTTTAACTGCAAACGTTTTCCTCTAATAGCAACCTTTGTTGCCATAAATTGTCTGACAACAATTATTTTTGAAGATTCAAGTTTGAACAAAGAGAATGGCTTTTAATCTCGGTGTGCCTTTCTCTTCTTATTTCCTCCTCTCTTACTTAACGTGCTGCCATCATACTGACAAAGTGTTACGAGAACAGACACCAGTCAGAGAAAAGAAAGTAGGGCCTCAGTGTGATTAACTGATTCCGTCCATGATTTTTCCAGGCTCTGGACAGAATTATTTTTCCAGGCTCTGGACAGAATTATTTTTCCCCGTTCAGTTTTAGACCTGGGGTGCATCTATTTAACGCATTACTGTGAAGCTCTAAGTTACTCTAATATGTATTGTCATATACCAAACTGATGGGAATAAATAGAAGAATCTGTTTATATCAATAACAATGACCTATAATCTGTTTGTATTACATTTTCCTTCTGACAAAAACGAATGAGAAAAAAAATTGCGCAACAGCTCTTAGAAAATTTCGACTTACCGCATTTTCTCAGCTCTACAAGTCCTTATAATCCATAGGAATCAACACAACATTGTAGCGATATCACACTAGCACACATTTATGCAAGAATTTCACAAATTTAGTTGAATATATTTCTTTGAAGAGCCTTTTTATTATTATTATTATACCAGGCTCCGTGTTGTTTACCCTTAGATCTAGCCTACATCGCAACAACAAAACAACGATTTTTGCAAGAATTTCGCGGAGTTTCGATCGATATTGGCTCTCAGAGATTGAGGTCAGGTTTGTTTACAAGTTCTACTTCCTTTCGACAACTTAAAAAGTAGGAACTATGTTAAAAAGTGCACCTTTGTTTCGGATTTCGTTGAGCCGCTCACAGCGGCCGAATGGAGGCAGCGGAAAAACTCAGAGCCGCTGTCAGCGGCCGAATGGACGGAATCAGTTAACCTTTCTTCCGGCTTGATAACTTAGAAAGTTTCCCACCAATTCCGGTGAAACTTCACATGAAACGAAACAAACGTCGGCTGCACGGTAAGAGATGGTTCACCAGTGTTTGCAAGCATACTTTTCCGAGGAAAAAACACAAAACTTGTGCTTGCAGGGGGTGCGTCAACCGCCTCTTGGGAAAATATTGGTGCTCGCAAATGCTGCGTGAAATGTCACCAGCGAGTTAATATGTATTGCATACTTTGAAACATTATAAACTTATAGACGTAACATCTATTTTCCCAGCCAAAAAAAAGAAAGAATTATGATATGGTAGAAATGTAAAAGGTTAGGGGTACATTATTTACCTTGGCTTAACAGAACCTGGTCTATGGTGTACCGTTAATGTCCATGTTCCCTTTGGGCTCTCATCCCAGGAGTGCACAGTCATGAACGTGAATTCCCACTCTCCATGATGATTATCATTGCCACGTGGAGACAGCAGGACCGATCTTTTCAAAGTGGAGAGAATTTCAATAAAAATAGAAGAAAATTGTGTCAATATCTCCAAATACTTGTTATTCTTTCAATTAAGAAGTGGGGGTTGTGATTTGATAAAAAATAATTCTTTATTTACAATACAGAGAAACGAACCATAATTTTTTTTAAACAATGTCATACTTATATAATGCATAACATACTCAGATTTAGCATACATCATTGAGAAAATGAAAGAAAAATGATTTCAGTAAAATTAAATGTAAGATTTTTCAAAATCACAATTGTTAACATTTATAATTAAAGGAATTCTTTGAAAAGAACATCCGTAAACATTCCTCTTGCAAGATGAGTTAGTAAATACAGCACTATGTACAAGTAAAAATTACTTTCAACTAGTTCTTTCAGATTGTTGATGCTTACTGTACAAGGTAGCAACGGAGGTAAAATTGGAGAAGCAGTGTAATCCAGACGAACTTCAAACCAGTTTACTATCAATGTGATTCTGTACACAGGTCTCCGAATTCAGTTCTATGAAGACAATTATTTTCTAAAACCAGTTCACAATTTTGGCAAGAAATTTTTATACAGTCATACTGAGCGTCTAGGCTATGGCACATCACTTTTGGGAGTGGCTCACGTAACACGTCTCTCCGCACCATCTCTCTCTGCACCTGCCCGACCTCACTCATCACTGGACTGGCCAATCACAACTCCACTCTGCTGACTGCCTGTTTAGAGCCCGCCTACAGCCCCCCCCCCCCCCCCCCACCCGAGCCCAGGTAATTGAGTTTACATAGAACAAAAACCCTGGGATTCCGGTAATTAAGGTCCCGCTCTAGGGGGTGCTGCTACAGTCGTGTTCTACGGTAAAACGTTTAATTCTCACACAAAAAGAGCTAAAAACAACTCCATCTCATCCCATCTTGTTTCTGATTCCTCCCATCCACTTTCTTTTCTTCATTTTATAACCTAAAAGGTAAGAGAATTATAACAGTCAGATTTGAATACAAAGTATTCTTCATTATTTTGAGATCTCCAAAGAAGAGGTCAGTACCAATTTAGTATCAGTTTCAGAAAAAGGGTTATTATAACTTTCTCTCTCACATTCAATTCCTAACAAGAAGGTCTAATCATAAATCCAATCTAATTAGTCCACACTATGGAACTATGATATCAACCAAGCACACATGAGGAAAATTACCTTGTACCAGCCGGAGAGGTCAGGACAATTTCAGTGTCTCCCCGGATGACTGTCGACATCTTCACATGGACTTGCACATGTTCCAAACGGTCAATTGATTGAGATTCATGTCCATAACAGCCATTTATTTCCATGGAATCAACAATTTTTCCTCCACTCTTCAGGATTCTGAAGCATGGAAAATCATAAAAATTATTAGCTTAGAGTCTTGTGGAGATTATAACTTAGATTATATGTATTCGCCACTGATACCAGTGATAGGTCCCACTTCTTTATTTTCCCTCCCTTGTTTCTGTCTGTCTGTCTTACTTTTCGCCCGCACTAAATGACAACAATTGTGTCGATGTGCTTCTCATTATTCAAACAAACAAATCAATAATGAAAGGTCAAATATGAAAGAAATATCAGTCAAGGAAAGGCAAGTTGTATGAGCTATCAATGCTTTCAAGTTTTCCACATTCATGCTATCTGTGCCTGACAGTACAATTAACTTACTGGTAGTTTTTGCGTGTTGTGTTGCAGACACGTTGCTGTGGAAAGTTTTCCCAGCTCTGAGCTAGCTCCACCATCTTGCCACAGTCAAAAAGGCCGAAGCCAAACCGGTGGCTCACGTGATGTCCGGCTCCATTGATGGTCCAGCTGCTGTCTGCCGATGGGATGCGTGACCCTCGCACGACCAGGTGTTGGACATCTCGCCAGCTCAGTAAAGGACTGGAGCAAAAAATGTATAGAATGTTTAACATTCATGTAACTAAAGGCTAAAGAAATAAATGTACACACACTGTTATCGACCAAGCAAACTCTTCTTTCTGTGCAGGCGGCCAGAGGGAGCCACTGTGTTAGGTCAAGTTTCTTTTCTTTCTCTCTGTTTTTTTTCTCTGCATATCTTGCTTTTTCCCTGCACTAAATGATCATTCTTATGCTGGATCATATTCTCCATACATGGTTCTATTCTTCCCAGACTTTAAACTGACTTATGGCTTGATGTAATGAAGGGCCTCTCCCTTTTTGTTGTGCTTGTCTTGAGTCTACCTCTGTCTGTTTGTCCGTAAAGCTAACTCAGGTACACAAAGGGTGCTCGTAAAATAATTAAATCATCTATGAAGTTGAAGAAGTTCTGGCTGTTCACAGAAAAACGGGTAAAGAATGTTTGTGTCCAGACAGAGTCAACTGCTCAAACAGGTTGTGTGGTGCTAGGTTTGCTATTGTATTATTTTTTTTTCTAAAATAATCTTTTGTAATTGAGGGGCTGAGATGCAAAACCCGCTACATCCATTTTAGTACTTTTGAGTGAATCAGCTTGTTTTAATGCTGTTTTACGCTCAAGCAAGTGTAAAAAGAAGATTTTTCGGTGGCTTTTATGAAGTATGTGTTCAGTTTTGGTCGAAAACACTTGGTAAATCTGATAGCCCACAACAATGTGCATTTATAAGCAAAAAAAATCTCAATTTTTTCAAAAATGTTGCTTAGCGGGTTTTGCATCTCATCCCCTCAATTGTTTTTTCCTTTTTTTTTTGGGGGGGGGGAATATGGAGTTATTGGTATCATCTGTACGGATCTCCAACCAGATTATGATGGAGACTATAAGCAGACAAACTCTTGGATGGATCATGAAGGGGGGGGGGGGAGGATGTCTATCCTGTTTCTTCACTTACTCCTTATTGTCCTTCAAGATGAACTAAGATCTTCTTACATTCATGGATAGGATACATACTTAGCTTATCAAAGTGCACTGAAAGAAATTATAAGAGCCCCATTGTCTTTAGTGTGATTGGTCAAGGTTCAAAACATACATAATTTACCAACGACTGTCTGAAGAGTAATTCTCTTTGAGAGTTAGATCAATGCCTGCAGACGTTTTCATTTTGTGACTACATAAATAGCATCACGATTCAGAAGGTTAGCAGAATTAAAGGCAACAAGATGCTACAGAGTCTATTAATGATGTTACAATTTATCAATATTGGCATTACTTAAATTTTGGGACTTACTTGGCTTGTAAAACATTTGCTAAGCAGCCTGCAGCCAGAGGGGCAGCACTTGAAGTACCTTGGAAGTTTTCAATACATCCACCGTTCATATCTGTTGTAACCTATCAAAGATAATAACTTTTTTTTAAAATAACAGTTTTAACTGGTGTATATTTTGTTTTTCCAGCTACACAAACTAATTTATTCTACAAAGTAGGTCAAATAGAAAAAAGTAAAACTGCAAAGGAAAAATGGTAGTCTGCGCAAAATATTTTACTTGTATTACAATAATTTTTATCAAATTTCTTCTTTATTGACAAATAAAATTTAAAAAATCATATCCATTACTTAACTACTCGGCAACGGGTTTTTTTGTGATATCATTTGGTGAAGAATTAAATAGTTTCCATTTTACTAGGGTTTATCTTTTAATCAAGAGCTTCAGAGACAACTTCTCTAGCTATGGGTTAACTTGCTCTGAAATCTATAGGATACAGTGAGTAAGAATAGTGATCAATATATAGAGCTAGAAAACTTTTTTTTTAATATAAAAAAGATTTTATATTATGATTGTGAGACTGAGAGTGAAGCAATTATTTCACTTTACATTTTCATAAAATTGCACTGAGGCATTTATTCGATAAAGATGCTCTCCAGAAAAGAAAAAAAGATGAAATTTTAAATACAATGTAAAAATTGTTACAGAAATAAAGTCAGAAATAAACCCATTGTCGAGGCGAAAAGTGGTTGTCTGAGGAAGGTAGACATCTCAGACAGTGCCATTTTAATGAAGAAAAAATGCAAAGGAGGAAGTGAAAAGTTGTTTGTACAGGTATGTGTCTTGTACTGGTGGCTGTAGAGCAGGTTCAGTTGCACATGTTATGCTGATATTTGAGAAGACAAAGACAAGTTTTCCTCACCACTTTAAGTTTGACTCCAGTTTCCCTCTCTTGATCTATGTAGTCTTCACCACCACTGGGCACAACAGCTAGCGTGGAGGAGCAGTTCTCCATGAAAAACGGGCTCCTTCCCCAGTCATTCACGGAACCAACGGACAAAGTCTCCGGCCTGGACACGTAGCCATCTGCACTACAGTCATCTTCGTTCATCCCACCATTGCCTGTAGCCCACACAAATATTGACCCCAGACCAGCCCGGCCCTGAAACACAAACATTATATGATAAAAACTGACTTCATAATATAATACATTTAGGGCATAATTTAGTCAAATCTATATTTACATAGAGAAGACTTTCAATTTTATTTGCTTGTTACTTTATATTTTATCTCTTACCGTATTGGTTTCCGCTTTTTAGGACTAAGGCAAAAAGATGAAAATCATTATAATTTGTTATATTTAAGAGAAAAGCATTACTGGATCATACTAACATTCAGTTCAGAAATCAGCAGTTGATACCAATGTTAATTGCGTTTATAAGTAATGAAGAGGGGAATAAGCACGCCCCCCCCCCCCCACACACACACACACACACGCACAAAAACAAAAAAAACGTTTCATAGATGAATAACAAATCTGCTCATTAGCTCATTGTACACACACACACACACACACACACATACACACACACACACACACACACATACAGGAAGAGAGAGAGAGAGAGAGAATGTGTGGGAGAGAGAGAAGGTGTGAGAGAGAGAGAGAGAGTGTGTGTGTGTGTGTGTGTGTGAGAGAGAGAGAGAGAGAGAGAGAGAGAGAGAGAGAGAGAGAGAGAGAGAGAGAGAGAGAGAGAGAGAGAGAGGGGGGGGAATGAAGGAGAAAGAGAGTATGGGATAGAGGGTGGGGAGAGAGAGAGTGGGGAGTGAGAGAGACAGAGAGGGGGGTTGGAGGAAGAGAAAAATAAAGAGTGAAGAAAAAGGAAAAAGAAATTATATGCACTTCTATACAAGCAACAAACCTCAGTAACTCCCTTGCGTAACGCCTCCAGAGCTAAGAGCCTCGGTCCTTCCATTGTGGCTCCATCATCATTTGGTCCCCATGATGAGCTGTAAATATCTATGTACTTGTTGTTGAAAGTCAGAGCCTCTGCCTCTAATGCATCAGTTACTGGGCCGTCCAGAATCCGAACTCCTTCATGAGCAAAAGAAATAAGAGAAACCTGAAGTTTAAACCCTCGAATGGTAGAGTTGTTCTAATATGATTAATCTTTACTACTTTCTTTTTTAAGGATCAAATTTAGATCGACTGCTCAGTGTATGACTCCATCATGTTACTTTTCAAAATGACATATGGTAGAGTTGGGTCGCGAGCGCGAGAACGGAACTGAATCGCCACTCTTCCCTGCGGAACATGATTCGCGATTCACTTAAGCGGAACGCGGAACAGTATCGCCTTCCGATTCCTAATTCACTCCCCTGTCGCTGTCACCACCTTGTGGCTTGTTTGTAACCTACTGTTGGGTCGCGAGTCGAGTCACGAGCATAAGAAGGGAACGGAACACTTAGTATGGCTCCCTTTATTTTACAAAAGATGGCATAGTCCAATCCCCCTATTAAAACAAAATGAACGGGTTCCAACCAAAAGACAGAAGGAATTTTATGAAGCCATTGTTTTAGTTTAGCGAATCATGGTGGGGGGGGGGGGGGGTGAATTTATGGGGGTCGCTAATTGAGGTCAGTATAGCAGCGCAACGAAGGGCAGGGGGCGGAGAGGATGGTGGGACAACAAGTGTGGAACTCGCAAAGTGACATTGATATATATCGTCGATGGGATTCACAAACCGGCTACATGCAAAAATTTAAAAAATCTTTTTATTTGCTTAATGAATAGTAAATAGCCTAATACGTGTCCCCAATAAATATTAGGTTTGAAAAAAAACTAGAAATATGTTTTATTTGAGACTTTCCAAAACGGACACCTGCAGCTGGTTGAAAAATGGGATCGCCAAACCGGCCATGTACATAGCCGCATCGGTTTCACCAGACCGTCGCGACACGCGTTGACACGGGTAATCGAAAACCGGCTACATGCTTCCCCGCCGCGCATCACCCCGACCGTTCTGTACGGGGTTTTTTTTTCTTGAACTAGACAGAATTGTAAACTGTTATCAGTGTTCATCGAGATAAAAAATATTATAGTCAACAATGAAGTGACTTGTAATATAAAGCATTTGTGTGATTCGATTTACTAGATTAGATTTGTCAATTAATTTATGTATCTAGATTACTAAGATGAGACAAAAGAACATGAAAGATCAATAGAGTTCCATCCACATTATGGGCCCGCACCTTTACAAAAAGCTCTCTCTCTTCTTCTTCTTCTTCTCCTCCTTCTCCTTCTCCTTCTCCTTCTTCTTCTTCTTCTTCTTCTTCTTCTTCTTCTTCTTCTTCTTCTTCTTCTTCTTCTTCTTCGCCTACATTAATTGTTGTATAATAGCACACTCTAGTGTTAGCTGCTGCAGAGCAGCTGTAATAGCAGTAGTAGTACCATCATCATCATCAGCAGCAGCAGCAGTAGTAGTAGTAGCAGCAGCTGCAGCAGCAGCAGCAGAAATAGTAATACTAAACTAATACTAACAATATTACACAAAATATTTTAATAATAATATGCACTTTATTGTTACTATTTCATTGTTGACATTCTGGATGCAATCCTTTTTGTTCTTGGAATTATCCTACGCTGTGACCATGGGTGTGAACTGATATTATTCATTGGTCTCTTCGCAAAATTAAACGTTTCAGTCGTGATGTATACTATATTGCTGCAGACATCATTTTCTTACGATTCACTTATCATGCATCAATAAAATTATCTATTCAAGTATTTGGTTTTAGTATTATTATGCCAGAGATATATTTAGCAGAGAAAGTGATTCCACGCAAAAACCTCCGCCGGCGTCATCTGTGATTCACGATTGGTAAAGAAAGGACCAAGAACAAGTCATCGTAAGAGAGAAAAAAAAATCCCGAAATATGAAATGGCTCCCTTTGTCAGGTTTACAGAATAGTTCATCTACGTTAACGCTGTTCTTCAATTCTTCAATAATTAATGCTAGTCCTTTACAAATACCACTTTCTTGACATTTTGGCATGAGTCGGGCTGAGGATACATGATGGATCCCTTATCTCGCGGAAGATGCCCGGTCAAGCTGAGTCTGGCAAAGACATTGGAGAAGACCGTGGACGATGGCAAGTGCACTCCAGCAAATTTTCCACGATTCACCCCTATCATGGAGCCACGGTATTGCCCATGGCTATCACCATCGACTCCGATTCACCCTGGTGTTTTGAACATTTCACTTTCAGAAAGTGTCGATGGTCTTCTTAAGAATGACCCTGAGTTTGAGATTTTTCTTTAAACTATTGCCAGAGATCCCTACAGCTGTAGGCTGCAATCACGAGGGAACTAATGGACATAAAATTGGAAGGTGGCGGAATGCATGTGTGATATATGCAGAAGGAATGGATTCTTGCGACAAGATTATGGACAAGTGCGGCAGGGAGGTGGGTAGAAGAGGAATGAAAAAAGGAAAAGGTAAAATTGATCCTTGTGAGGGACTGCCTTCTCGAAAGTAACAGATTGACTAGCACAACTAGAAACGAAATGAGACCAAAAGGCTGGAATAACAAAAGCTAGAATAGCTCAACAAATCCAAAAAGGCACTCTTGTCAGAATAGTAGATACCATTGTGACGAATTCAGTTATAAGGAAAGAGACAGATTTTTTAAAAGCAGTATGGAGACTCACATGGGTACAGAAGCGTACATTTGTAATTCATTTTTTAAAAAGAGGATGTGATGGGGAAGAGTGTTTGGTGCGTCTGGATCAAGCCGGTCTGAAGAGACCAAAGGTTCAGAAAATAAAGCGCATTCAGGTATTTTCAGCAATGTAGCTGCCAGTTTGCGGAGAAAGTTTGCTGACAGTTCTTTATTATGTCAACCATCGGACTTTAGAACATGATGTGTTAGGAACTGGGCGATGAACGAGCAGTCAAACATGAATGCACGTGTGGCCGATGCATCCTCAGTGTTGAGGGATTCTTCAACAAGTTATCACGACTATCATTACATTACTGTATGGCTCAACTAAGCTGTACCTTGAGGCCCCTTTCCAAAGTTTCGCTGACGTGTAATGGCTCTACACTTCAGAGTATACAGAAATGAAGCAACGCTCCCACTGGTGAAGCAAATTTTCGACGAGCTCAACTTGGCTCTGTTCTGTCCTCGTGAGTATTGTTGCGATGTTTACGTGATTATTGTGGCAACGTGCGTGAACACACTTGGTTGAAACATTGAAAGTGAGAAGAAACAAACAGAACACCACAGCCGACAAGGAAATAGCCATCAAGTCCTTAGGTGAAGATGAAAAACACTCTGGTGTTGAGTGGACGTGCCAGCTGTTCCATTGGTACTAAGAAGCAGTGCGTCTTCTCTGTATTACAAGATTAAAATATCGGTGCATCATTTTACGTTCTACAACGTTGCTGAGAACGATGTGGTGGGCTGAGACAGAACGAATTTGCAACGTACATAATTAACTTTCTGAAAGGAATCCTGGCTGCCAAAAGTAACCCTTATACGGTGATGATTGGACATACCTAAGCTGCTTCTTTTTTGTGCTAGAAACAGGGTTCAAATTGAACAAAGAATACCAGAAAAGGAGAATCTAACAAAAAGAAGTGGGTTTCCGAACTCAATTATATCGAGAGGAGGTTGAAGACTCCCCTAGCTATGTGTCAGCCCAGTATGTCCATAAAACACAGTCATCACGCTCAAACCCCATCCATACCATGTGAAATATCTGCAACACCAACAACTTTCAGGATTACAAGAGCATGTCCGACCATTTTCAACCCAGCAGGAGAGTCAAGGACTCTTCGGTGACGGACAGGAGGTGTATCCTGATGAGTCACGGAGGTGAGCCCCACCAAATTTTCCCAAGAGGTCAAACCAACCAAAGTGGGAGCTGGTTGACCCAACGCCTGCCTACACTAGCTCCGGGAAAATGACAAACGGAGAAATACTAACATGTCCAAACGGTGTAAGAGGTCATGCCAGTTGAATACCATCCATTTTACCACGCTCTGTCAACTGACTAGCACCGAACATTGCTCATGGGGAAAGTAGAGACTTACAATCATGGAATTCAAATGTGATTTTGTCGTCTATGTAGCTCACACTGTTTCATTGTTTATTATAATGTAGGAACTCAAGCGTGAGAGATGATGAAAGATAGTGCACAGGAAAAAATGAGCCCATCTATGTGCAATCAAACGATACTAATATTCTTTCAATCACGCCCCAGACAATAAGATGCAAAGAGACCAAGTTTTAAATGTTATTATAATTCAGCTGAGAATCGAACCCATGACCTCCCGATCCAGATTAGAGCCCCGAGACCAACGTTTGCCATACCAAGGCCCTGCCCTTTGGGGATATCGAACAAAAGTGGAGGTTTCTCAGACAAATACTCAAAAAAAGTTTTGTCCTGGCTTTTTAAACAACTTAATTTGTGTTGGTTTGGGGTTTTGTTTGATATTTTTGTAAACACAGAGATGTCTTCTTATCAACAATTCTAGTCAAACACTTGATGACCTGACACATTGGGATATTTCACGTAGTACAGCTAAAGTTCCACACTGGCAGATATAGTCCCCCCC